TGATGACAGGGTGGGCAACTAGTCTTGCTCTTCTTTCTATTTTGTTGTGTGACTTTGTCGTCATTGCTAGGTCATATTTTTTGCTATGTATATACTTTGGTTGTGATGTGGACTGTGTTTGTTGGACATACACTGCGATGGTACCTTGCATGTTGAATCACATGCACGATGATTGTTTTGTAGTTTAGTTATGATTATGGGTATTTCAGCCCTACACTCTCTGGATGCTTGTATATATGGCGGTGTTTTGCGCATTGTTGATCCCTCTCTTGTTACTACATACATGTGCTGTGTTACTTAACAGTTTTTATTATTTACCGTCCTTACTCTTGCAATTTTCTTGTTGTGAGCTTAGGATTGAAAACAAGTTTGGCGAAGAGACTCCACCTATATGGATGTCCGAAAGTAATTCTATTTCTATGCTCGAACTCTATTTTATAGGAGTCACTTATAATGGAACCCTTATGATTTGAAAATGAGATGTAATGAATTTATAACAAATGTAAAGTTCCCTCCAAGATTTGAGCTTTTAGTTATTTAAATAATAATCTAATACCCTACTTTATTCACTTTCACATCTAATATGGAATTATCGAAATATTTGAAAATGTGTGCTTATAAAAATATGTAATTAATCAAGAAATTTTAGGCTTTAATCATTAACTCAAATAATACGACTAAAAATTAATTTTGGAATGGTCTATAAGATCTTTTGAACTCATATTAAAAGGTAATTAAGGAATATGAACTATGGAAAACTAGATATCCAAAAATCTTAAAATTCATGCTTAACTAGATACAATAATTCTCAACGCTAAAAAAAAAAAAAATGAAAAAAAATGAAAGAGGAGATAAATGCTTTTAAAAAAGAATTTGATCTTGAAAGAGAAAAAAAAATAATTGAAAAAGATGTGTGAGAAGAAGTTTGAGGTTAAGCATGAAAAATAAAATAAATGATGTCCTCTCTTTTTCTTAATTAATATGTCTTAAGCACTCTCTTAATAAAATTTTGGGATCATATATGCATGGAAGAAATTGATGGCTAGTTGGTTATTTGATTAATAACTAAGTAGTTTAAGAGCTCATTTGATTAATGAAAAGTTTTTAGTCACACTAGATTGAGTGAGTTGAGAATGGCTTATGCTGAGGAAAAAGGTGAATAAAGGAAATTTGAGGTTATTAGAGATCAACAGAAATTCAAATTAAGGATAGAATTTATAAATTTTTATTGACTATTACATAACTTTATTAAAAAGCAAGAAATTTTTCATGCGAGCAAGTTTCATTGTTATGAGTCTAAGTGATGGGATTTTTTGATGGTAAGTAATATGTAAGTTTGAGGGATTTGATGTGGATTAAATGTGTGAAATTTTTTCTTATGAAAATTCATGTTCTATTGCATAATTATGTTAACGTTAAACTTGTAAAAGGTATTTTGTTGTATTTTGCAGGGTATACATAATATTAAGCCATTTGAGGAAATAAAAGAGGCAAATTGAGGGCCCAGAAAGGTGGTGAAGGGCTTTTTGGTTCGATGTGCCCATGCCTAAAACCGACGCACCCACACCCTTTCTAGAAAAGGCAGCATACTCGTGCCGCTCCAAAGGTGTGCCCATGCTTGGGCTAGCACACCCCACGCATAGGGCTGGCGCACCGACACCGCTGATTCACTAGAGACAGACACACATATGCCGAGCACGGGCGTGGGTGCACCCTGTTGCAGAATTCAATATAGAATTTGATTTCTTGCTTATTTGAATGCCTTAACTAGAAAAAGGATTGCTGGAAGTAGAGGAGGCACTTAGTCAGAGATTTTCCTTCTTTTCTTCTAAAGAGCCTTGTGAGTCCCTTAGGGTTTCTTCTTGAGGTTTTCCTTCAGAGAAGCTTCTAGGGCATTTTTTAATTAAAGAGTTTTGGAGAGATTGAGGGTGTGAGTTTTGTGTGATTGTGCGAGAGGAGATCAACATAGTATACTTATTGTAGGAGAGGATTGTGGTATGAAAATAAGTGAAGATTACTCAGGTTTGAATATTATAACTTGTTTTGACATTATTTGTTCTTGATTCAATAAACATGTGTATGTGTTATTGTCTCATGTATTGAAGCTAAATTTATTTCATGCTCCAATGATTAGGGTTAATGATGTATCGTTGTTTTCTCTACAAATTTGTTGGTAAGATGTTTTCTCATGTTTGAATGACTCATGTTAATGTGTTAATCTTTAGGATGTCATTTACTTTTGATATGATCAATTAAAATGTTAAGATCTTTTGTGATATAAAAACTCTAATCGTTGCCTAAAAGAATAAATGAGTTAGCAAATAATCCCTTAATTGAGTAGATATATTACCATTAAAAGGTTGCAATCTAGATATGAGACTAGATGATTTATGGGAAACACTGCATGATTGAGACCTTAACCGTAATAAAGCTTCCAACGCTTCTTATAACCTAGGCATAAATTAAGGAGGGCTTGTCCCTGACTGTAGGGAAACTTTGAGGATTCTCAAAATCCAGAGTCACAGGAGTATGATATCATCAATACGTTCAAGCTTTGCTTAGGGTTTAGTAAACTAGAGCTTCACTTATTAGAATGCCTACTCGTTTCCTGTAGGATTGATATGCAAACTCTTTTTTGTATATTATTTGATCGAAGTGTAAACGTGTGTTGTTGACCAGCTTGCTTTGCAGTAATTTCGGTCATCAGCATATTGTGCATTTTCATGCACTAGGGGTTTTACTCTGTCCGAGTGAAAATTCATTTTCCTTCATTACATTTAGGTTTCATGAGTCAATACGTTAGTGATGAGGCTTCAACTACTCTTAGTTTGACCTGTGGTTATAATTGGGGAAATGAGCATTGTTTGCTGGTTTATTCAGTCTAGCAATGTAAATTATCCTATTACAATAAGATCTCTTAGGATTATTCCAAGCATTGTTATGGGCTAACCTCCATCACTTATCATGACGATGATTAGTTCATTGAAGGTTAGGTTACGACGCAGGGGGTGGGTGGTGGTGGGGTGAAGTTTATGAAATTAAAAGTGCATAAAACACAAAATATGTAAGAGAATTTTTAACGTGGTTCAACTAAACCCTAAAAAAACCAGCCAACTACACGTCCAGCCAAACTCATGGGCTAGGATCATACCATCAAATCAATAAATCTCCTTTACACCGAGTGCGGGTGAAGAAATCCTTATAAATCACCATCACAAATTAAAAATATAAAATCTTTCATAATCCAATTTTAAAAAAACTAAAACGGCCTTCATATTTTGCTAACAATTAATGAAAATACTATAGCAAATAAAAAAATTAAAGTAAAATTTCAATCGATTTATATGACCCGTCGGTTATCGCACAAACATTTTGGTGTTTGTGAATGAATTTACACATGTTTCTCAAGCTCAGAAGATGTATAAATCCTCTTTAGAAAATTTTATATTTATAGATAAATCAATTTTATCTTATAATTGGTAATTGTAATAATTTTATTATTCATAGCACATCAAATTTATTAGATCAAGTATAATGGTAAAAAATTATAATAGGAAGTTAATATAATTTAATTAAGACCATTTTACACATTAAATTGGAAATAAATTAAGAAAGCAATATATATATTTTTTATAATATCATTTAAAGTTTCCTAATGAAAGCAAGGAAAATATATTTAGCATTAATTTGTTTTCGAGAGCCGAATTTGGAAACATGAAAATTATAGTAATATAAATAAATAAATAAATTATATTTAAGCAATTGAAATATGAAAATCATTGTAATATAAAACGATATGTTATGTTTTAAGATGTTATATTTTGATTGAATTAAATTTAATCCCCCAAAAAAGAAAGAAAAAAAAAGTATAGAATTTCGGACATAGAGTAAATTTTATAAATGAATTGTATCCTATAGTTTTTATGAAATTGAATATGAGAATTAAAAAAAATCAAATTATAAAATAATTATTTTGAAAAATAAAAACAATGTAGTATATTATCAAACATAATTTAAAATATTTAAATGATTTCAAAATAATTTATTATATTTTAATAAATTTGTTTAGTTAAAAATAAATTATGGTTCTAATTTGATTTTATCAATAGAATCTATGAAATTATAACTTTGGAATCATTGAGCTAGACATAATTATCTCAAGCTCGAAGCTTTCTTCAATAAACTTACTGGCTAATCTTAATTATCTCAAACTCCAAGATTTCTTGTAGATTTATCATATGATCGTGAAATTTTTTCATAGGTAAATATTAGGTTTGTCAATCAAAGAGTTTGTTATCATCAAAATTATATAGTCAAAACTATGGGTGTAAACGAACCAAACATGAGCGAGTTCAAGCTCAGCTCGTGCAGCTTGTTTATATTTCGAGCTCAAAAAATGTGTTCATGTTTGACTCGTTTGCTTAAAGAGCTGAATATGAGCCGTTCACGAACAAAGAGTTGTTTTGACAACTCTAATCACGTAGCCATAAGATGTTAATGATTGTGACAAGATTTAAAAACTATTATTTATATTAAAACATCATTTGAATCTAATTTATTAAATTTTATTCTATTTTCTTAATTAATAATTTTAATTGATTATAATTTTTTGTAACTTTGTAGTCAATTAAATTTTTTTAAAATACTACTCATCAATATATATATATATATATATAT